CTGTACATAACCAAGTAACAATAGGAACATTTAACTAGAATAAAAGTTTTCCGTTAATCCAATAGATCGAATTTTGAAATAGAAACCACAGATCTACTTGATATTAAAATAAAGTTTGTTTTTTGTTTTTTTTCCTGTAAACATGATACATCAAGTCTTGAAAAGACAACTGTTCTATATAACTTTATCTGCAAAATAACTCACTCTGCTGGAAGTACTATCCCATATTTCATGTGTCTTGCTGGTCTCTAGAAATAAGATTAACTAAACTTGGAACAAAGAAAAAGCTATTAAAAGAGCAACCAATCGTAATCTTTACGTCACTATTCCTGCGGCAGGCACAGAGAAAATATCGAAATGCGTTTATATTTTTGTGTTAAAATAAACAAAGATGTAAACTTTATTTCACCTGGTTCCCCAGTGGGTCAGTTAAATTCTGAGATCGATTTCCCATCGTGGATAGAGCGCAAATGCCCCATTGTATAGCTTTGTGCTAAAAACGATAGCAAACAAATTACTTCAACTATCGAACAGTGATAAGTTCGGAACTTTGATCAAACTATGTTTGCAGATTTATTACACATGGACACTATAAACCACTTCATAATCTATTATGTCACAGAAAGTAAATGAGAAAGACAAATATTTTTGTCACTCGGTGGGACAGCGGTAAGTCTACAGACTTATAACACTAAAATCAGGGATTCGACTTCCCGTGGTGGACAGTGTGCAGATAGCCCATTGTGCAGCTTTGCACCAAGTAAACACAATAAAATATCGTCTTGGTTCATGACGTATAAGGTGTTTTTATGGGTTCAACATCCTGTGGTGAACAGAGTGCAGATAGCCCCATTGTGCAGCTTTGCACCCAAGTAAACAACAACAAAATATCGTCTTGGTTCATGACGCATAATGTGTTTTTATGGATTCGACTTTCCGTGGTGGACAGAGTGCAGATAGCCCATTGTGCAGCTTTGCACCCAAGTAAACAACAACAAAATATCGTCTTGGTTCATGACGTATAAGGTGTTTTTAGTGTCTTCTAAACTACAAATTATATTATCATGTAATACACATACACTTACGCTTAACACGACTAAATAAAATATCGTTCATTTGAGATATTATGGGAAATGTTCTGAAATATCACTGTGGATGTGAAGCGTGTTGTTGTTAAGGGGCGTTGCAAACATTTTAATATGTTTAATTACTTCAGAGGTTTGCGCCAGTGGCTATAAGTGATACTTCGACTAAACGAAACTCTCAAAGCGAATTGTTAATTAAGTCAATTTCAACCGAAAGATATAATCGAATTGGATCCAACTGGTGTTATTTCGGGTTAGACGTTACTCGATTACGATTACTTTAGTTTTCTGCAAACCGAATGTTTCTAGCATCTGCTTGTTGGTATTCACTACTTTAGCAACGGTAAATTTGTTGTTATATTAAACATATTTTTCGATAATTTTCTATAACAAATCTAGCTCTTAAAACAGTTATTTCCTCCATAATAATTAGTAATATTGTAATTTTTGCTTCTTTCGTTTAAAACTGAATATATTCGCGTGCACAAAGTGTCAATATCACTATATTCTAAATGGCAAGATCCAAAAATATATTTCGATAGAACGTTTCTTAGCGTCGAAAGGTTTTGTTTATAAAACTATACCCATTTCAAGTATATAGAAGACATTGTAAAAACACATATAACAATTATTACAAAAGCTGCTATACCGTGCTATAGTGTGAGTTATTGTGCCTTGACTTCAATATGCGCTAATTCATTTTTTGTTAATTTTTTGTTGATAAATAATTTTTTGCATCTATTTTTAAAGTTTTCTGAAAATGGCTATGGCTTCATCATCTTGATAAGTAAACCATGGCTTTAAAGTGTTGTAAAAGTATTGGATAAGCAAACCACGGTTTTAAAGTGTGGTAAAATTATCAGGTAAGTAAATCATGGCTTTAAAGTGTGGTAAAATTATTGGGTAAGTAAACCATGGCTTTAAAGTGTGGTAAAATTATTGGGTAAGTAAACCATGGCTTTAAAGTGTGGTAAAATTATTGGGTAAGTAAACCATGGCTTTAAAGTGTAGTAAAATTATTGGGTAAGTAAACCATGGCTTTAAAGTGTTGTAAGATTATTGGATAAGTAAAAAGGTGTCAAGATTGTATTATTATCTCACTTTGGTTCGAAGTTTGCAATAATTATAACCAAAATGGTTAACCTTCAGTATGATCTTGACCTTTTTAACCAAAAGTTAATCAACTGGTACTTCAGGGACATGACATGCAATCAACTTTGTTCAATATTGGAATGAAAGTCTTAAGTTAGACTATACACACACATACACAGGAGTTAAAACAGTTATAATGTAGCTGAATTTTTCTTAGCGTTTTCGTCCTAGTTACGTCCAATTTTAAATTATTTCAATTATCCAACGGTTAGAACCAATATGTGCATAAATGGGCCAATAGTATTGCACGAGAACTATAAGAGGTGTCCAATAAGAAAAACTATAGTATAATTACAATAATCGTTAAAAAGATTGTTCCTTGCTTTCTTATCATTGTTGTTATTTGTGTAGTAGAATTTTAGTTTTTATCTTTTAAAGTGTTTGTACTTTTTATTGCTATTAAACTACCAGCAACATTACCAGATAACTTCGGATAATTACAACGAGAAATAACCTTGCTAATCTGATAAAAGTTTGTAAAAATAATTGAATTTTATTAATAAAAATTGTTTTTCCTTTTTCTTAGCGGATTCTTTCCAAGTCATTAAATTAGTCATTATTTTCTTGTCTTGTTACTTATTCTAGAACGTGTAGGTCTCATAGGAAATTCCCTGTATAAAGTTATTGTTATTACATATAATCCACCTAATCTTTTCCTAATATAGCTGTATCTTTGACAACAGCAACTGAGGAATTGTTGTTACAAATACTAGGGTAACTATTTTGTATGTAATACTCACGTCAAACAAAGACAATGGCAAATTCGATGACGAGGAACTCACTTTGAGACTAATAATTAAAGTTTTTCTTCATTACTTATTCAAGTCGTCTCCAACCATTAAAAGACAATGGCAGTTGTGAAAGCCAAAGCCTTAACTACCCATAAAAACAATACCGTTGCCACAGTTTTATCTTCATACCTATTAAAACAATACCGAAGATAAAACTATGACAGCAGTATTGTTCTAATGAGTATACATATAAAACTATGACAGCAGTATTGTTCTAATGAGTATACATATAAAACTGTGGCAGCGTATTTTTCTAATGCGTATGAAGATAAAACTGTGGCAGTATACCTATTAAAACAATACCACTACCACAGTTTTATCTTCATATACATTAGAACAATACGCTGTCACAGTTTTATATTTTTACTCATTAGAACAATACTACTGCCACAGTTTTATCTTCATAACTGTTAAAACAATACCACTGCCACAGTTTTATCTTCATAACTGTAAAAACAATACCACTGCCACAGTTTTATCTGCATACTCATCAGAACAATACCACTGCCACAGTTTTATCTTCATAACTGCTAAAACAACACCACTGCCACAGTTTTATCTGCATACTCATTAGAACAATACCACTGCCACAGTTTTATCTGCATCCTCATCAGGACAATACTGCTGTCACAGTTTTGTCTTCCTTCTCATTACAACAAAATCGTTGTTACGCTTTTATTTTGATTATCTGTTATCTCATCTGCAGCGATATAGAGTTTGAATTATTATTAGTTCATTTGATTCTTTGAATGCTAATATCTGTATAAATATCAAGTATGCTGTTTCAAAATTTATATCAAATAGCTGTCCAATAAGTTATTAAGTCACTCTTTTAAAGATGGAGGCAACAGTGAATTTTGTGAATATATCTATTACTTAATTATTGATTCAAAATGCTAATTTGGTGTTTAAACCGTAGTAAGGAATGTTAAGTTAATCAATCCTATGCACATGTGTTTGTCTACTTTTTCACACACATGCTTTTTAGTGTTTGTAATATGCAATGACTTTGTTTCCAATAACACAGGCCTGTGATGGTTTTATTGTCTTGAAATTTTACATATTCTAAGGTACTTCCTATACGCTCAATCCGAAAATGACATCCATTTTTCTCCATCGCGTACAGATTTTTCACAAATCACCATAACGCAATACCACAACACGTAGTTTTGAGACTAAACGACTATATTTCATAACAGAAATTAGGATGATTGAGGATGGATGTTCGCTTGACATCAATGTTCTTCCATTATCTTCAGTTTGTTTGTATTTTTGTTAACAAACATAATAATAAAAAATGTTCATTGTGGTAAACGAAATAATAATTTGATCTAAGTAAGAGTTTTTTCTTCCCGATTTGTAAAAAATCCTTAAATATAATAGAAAAAAAATATTATTTTTGAAATCTGCGTAGTTGAATTATGGAAAATCGTTATTAAAACCAAAACCAATTTTATGAAGTTTAACTTTGCAGGTCTGTGTTATCAGACAATGTAGACAGTCATTATTGAAAACAACATAGCCATCAGTACTCATTGCCCTAGCTAAGGTTTATTAAAATAACCTTTTTCATGTTGTAGAACGTTACCGCAGCCACTGTTAATATTATAAAATAATACATAAATCATTTAAAAATAAATTCTTATTTATTAATGAACGTTAGTAAAAACTTAAGTATCCTTATGCAGTACTGGAAGAGCGTCTATAAGAAATGACCAAATCATCCGTGGTGTCTTTCATAACGGAAATATAATGAACAGTATAATATGTCTGTATTTACTGAACGTTGGTAAAACAATCCTCAGAGAAGATCCAGGGGTTATCTTCTGTTCCCAAGGCTGACAACATTGAAGCTCAAGTTCTACATTTTCCTAAGTATTAAACGCTTCGGAATTTTTATATCTAGGCCTCTTCGGGGGGGGGGGGAACATTATATAGCAAGTATATTACATAACTAAATTAACTGATAAGATTTCCTCCCTAAGAAAACACATTTTATTTACCCTTCACATACAAACAAGAAAGTTTCTTTGCATAATAATACATTATACATTACGCTAAATCAGCTAAATCCAAGCTACACTTGAAGCCACAAAAATGAGAGCATATCCCAAGGCACGTTAGAAAGAAAAAACCCGACTATCAATCATGTATTTTACATATTTATTTATTTTTTTGGCAAACGTTTAAAAGACGGTTTGAATTTTAATTAGCAAACAAAAGGAACAATAAAATTCCATGTTGAAATGAATATATATAATTATATTGTTAACACAATGCAACAATGAAGTTACATGAGCGACAACGAGACTGAATTCTGACAACCCTTGAGGGCATGAATGTTTCAAACATTAACTGTTATAGCTATTTCTTAAATGCACAAAAGGGTAATTTTACATTAGTTTCATTACTACGATCCTTCAATAATACGATTCTGGGTTAGGTATACTGGGAAACAATGAATGCATACAAGAAAGAAGCGTTATCAATGGAATGGACTATCACTTATAAAGTACAACTTCATCCAGTTGTAATCATTATGTTTTAAACTGAAGATCCATTATGATATATAGCTCCCAATTCTGGGAACCTGTCGTTCAGTCTTCATATTCAACAAGTAGTTAAAACTCTCAGCAAAACCTTCTCTTAAAACAGCAGTGTTATTTTCAAGAAACCCTTTTGTTGATCATATCAACTAACAGAAAAGCCTTACATGGCAAGCAGTTATACTGCTTTTATTAACAGGATTAAATAAGTACGTAAATTATGCGTTACTTAAAAACTGCTTACATTCTCCTTAGATAACTTAAATGACTAAAACACAATAATACTTTGTATACAGACGAAATCCATGTACCCAGAACAATATTTTGTTTTACGTAACGTTAGAATTAAAATAAATTTAAAACAGCAAAAAGAGTAGTTTTATCATTTGAGTTATGACACTCCCAATTTGTCAAAAGGGGTGGGGTCGCTTCAGTTATGATACTCCCAATATGTCCAAGTGGGGGATCACTTCAGTTATGACATTCCCAATATGTCAAAAGAGGGAAGAAAATCACTTCTTTTATAAGTCAAACTTTCTTCACTTAAAACGTATGAAGAAAAGCTTTTCAAAAACATATTTGCTTAGATTACTAACAGAGAAGGAGCAGTGGGAGAGGGAGGGAGCAAAGAGGACAACTGTCTCCTAGCGGTCATTAAGGGGCTCACATATTCTAGTCTAAATCACAACAAAATGTATAAGTTAAGTTATCTATTGTTAAATAGTGTAAATGAGGCCATATATCATCACCTATGTCTGCTGAGTTATGTCACTAACTGACAAGTGGTATGCGATGTTTAAAATATTACATCATTTAGGGGTTTTGAAATGCCAATTTGCCCCCTCCCGTCCCTAAACAATGAGACCTTAGAACCGTCCCTGAATTTACTAAAATATAACTAAAGAAAAATAAAAAAAAGTTATGTAGGGATCAATCTGTTGGATATGAACTCGTCTTTAGGACCACACTAATAATGATAATCATTCACCACAACGTTGAAAGCTTGGTTTTAGTTTTTTGTCTGTTTTTGTAGGTAGTTTCTTTCCTATAGCTTATTTACATATGTAGATATTTCTGGTAATTTGTGAAACAAAAATGTCCACCCATTAGTGTGTAAAAGCAATTAATCCCCAAATAACAGAGTACAACGATATAATTTATACACGTATATTTCAAAAGACCCAGAAGCTCAAGCGATTTCGAATAATTGACTATTCTTCTCCAGAAGCAAACATTGCCCTTTTTAATTTTGGAAACAAATCAGTCAAATATTCGAAAATCTTCTAGTTCCCGAGACTTTTGATATCTACTAGTTTTTTGTTTTATCCTTTGTGCTAAATCTTTCATCATAGTTGTTTTACCTAAATATATTCTTTATTATATTGTAGAATATCTAGTTTAACGATTGTAGCATGAGATGTTATCATTATATGTATATGGTTCTGAAGAAGATGGATATTTAAATCGCTGACCAATCACCATGATGTAGTTTTATATTGTATTTTTTACTTATTTTAACTTATTCCCGTTTTCAACTTTGTTTATAATAATTTGGCAAACATTTTTTTTAAAGTAACGTACCGTTTTATCAACGAATTCATATGTTAATATTTGTGTGTGTATGTGTTGTTCTGTTTTTATTTTTATTTTGTTGGTCTGTGGTCAACACACTTTGGGAATTACACAGCCTAATGTTTCTATGATCACAGCCTTACAGCCACCAAATGTTGACATGGTCGACATGATTGGACTATTTGTTTTCATCATCGAGAAGGCCTTGTGTTGTCCATTAGCATTAGCTTCAGGAAGTGAGCAAAAACTAGAACGACGAGTACGTGACTAAAAGATGTATCTGTTCCCTTTGCGCCATTTCTCTCACTGCATCCACCTATAATGATAATAACTTATTTTAAGAACAACAACAACACAACTTCAACTGAAAGATTTATATTACGGAAGTAATTCGTGTTCAGAATAATGACGTAGATAAAGTATAACTTTATTTATCATGAAGAAACACTCATGGTTAAGTTACTACGTTACATTATGCGACTTATTGTGAAATACACCTTAACTGAAAACATGCAGGCTATAATTTGTGAATATAATGGTGGTTAAATAATTCTTCTGGAAAAAAGTATCATACAATTTCATAATGAAATTACTGAAAGTTCTGAACAAGAACCAGACTTTATACTATTACATTCGCTTATTATTAATTTTTCAATGTGGTGAAGCGCTTAACGTATCATGGTTTAGCAGATTGTACTTTTAAGCCTATTACTTTATAAACATAAGGCTTGCTGGAAGTGTCCAGCCTGAACATCAGTAGCTTTACGCGGTTTTGACGCATTTTTATGCTACTTTATATGAAACAAAATAAGTTCATAAGCTTGTAAAAGGTACTGTAAACTCTTTAATATAATCTTGTTTATTAAAGAGAAGAAAAATGCAAGAATAGAATTCAAACAATTCTTTGGTAGGATACTCTTTCTGAAAGCAGACATAATAAAAATCGCCATTTTTTTCATTAGGCTTAGAAGACTTTTTAGAGATTAAACAGTAAATACGTTATCTTAATAAAACAATTATTTATAAAAAACAAGCCAAATGTTCATTTCATTTCTTCAAACCAAAGCAAATAATTATCTATAAAAAAATATAATTTAATTCGATTTCTTCAAGCCAAAGCACTGAACAAATTTCATGGTTTGTTCGCAGTGGTTTCGTTTAAGCCTTGCCAAAGTAAATTCTTTGAACTTTATAGCTAAGTTTCTATATTTAAATACATACATTTTCTTATATTTTATGTACGCATATTCACTCCATTTTCCTTATTATACGTTCTTACTTTAATTTACTAAGTTATAGAATACTTAAACACTTTTATTTCATATGAATAGTGAGTGACTAACAGAAAAACAAGTTACTATGGTTTTGATTGCATTAGTTTAGAGATAACTCGAGCATGATTAAAGACTGAAATTACTTTACGCATTATTTCACTTAACTGGACCTATATTTAAAAAAGTTGAGTATTACGTTATATTAGAAACACAATAAATATGATATTTAAGCTAGCACCAAATATAATTCATTTTCTAGTTAACTATGATTAACACATAAACACTTTAATTTTAAGAAAGACTGAGTTTGAATAAGGTTTTCAAACTTTAAGTGAAATGAATTTAATTTAATACATTTTATGGAATACAACTGCTGTAATTTAATACATTTTATGGAATACAACTGCTGTAATTTAATACATTTTATGGAATACAACTGCTGTTGTTTTAATTATTCTTGACTCCCAGAGAAATTAGATACCATTTGGAAATGCTTAGAGCTAGCTTAAACATAAATATAATGTATTAATGATCGACGATTTCCGTAAGTATAAACCACATTTTATAGTAACACTTATAAAACCTTTTTTTTCCCTTTGATCTGCTATTGTCACAAGTGTTAACTTTCTTCTGACAAAAAACGCCATTATTTCTGTCGTTTGACCGTGCTCACAATTAATGTATATACGTAAAACTAAAAAAATAAGTTAGTTGTTAAATATCTGCTTTACGGATGTTAACAACAACAGCTAAAAAGGACTTTGAAAATTAAAAATATAAATTCACTAGTAACACGTATACTTTTAGAATAAATGTGAGGTTGGGAGAGAGAAAGTTACATATAACGCACAAAAGGCACTAACCATGCTATGAAAATGTAATAATTACCTAGTTACTTTGATTTAAAAAACGACAAAATCTGTCGCAAAAAATGGGATCTTATATGTGACATCAAACTATAAAACAATATTGTACTATCTGTGGACATTTTTTTACTCATGAATGAAAGGCTCTTCTTACGACGTTAAGCTGGTAGGAGTAGAGCTGGTCCTTCTAAAGCATAGAATGTTGGTTTATCAAGCATCTGTGTACAATCAATATATAAGTATTAGTAGAGTTTTCTCTACAATGTTTTCTTTTCAGTTATGTATTAGACATTTTATCTTTATATGAACATAATTAGTCTTTTTATCGTTTCCAAAGGACGTCCGACTTTAGACGTTTGAATAGGGAACCACGTGATCCTGCGAACATGCAGATACTATGTAATGACGTTACCTTGACATTTCTCCAGTTTTCCGAAGGCAAAGTTGTCATAATTAGTGTCTGGAAATTTGTTTTTCCTGATTTCTAGCTGTCTCTGTACTTCAGGTCATTAGTCAATCGGTTAGTTAGAAAGACGTTGAAAAGCACAGGATCTACGAGCTACTGTATATATATTTATCTTGATGATCTCCTTCGGAAGGGGAAGGAACTTGTAGGTTTGTGAAGAAGCATCTAACATTACTAGTTATCATAATGATTTTTTTTACACTGTTGATTAATAACTACTATTCTAAATATTTTGAAAACTGTCCCTTGTCACTTTAAGAATTAGCTTCTACTCGATGAGAGAAAAGTACATTTTGGTTAAAATAACTGTATGTCTGTAATCATAATCTGCAAAACTCTAGTTTATACTGCTCGTTTTCTCTAACAAATTAATAGTAATAGATTTTATTTTGTATGATTATTATTACAAACATGTGATCATTTTGTATGATTATTATTATTACAGACATGTGATCATTTTGTATGATTATTATAATTACAAACATATGGTTATTTTGTATGATTATTATTATAATTACAAACATATGGTTATTTGTATGATTATTATTATTATTATTACAAACATATGATCATTTTGTATGATTATTATTATTACAAACATGTGATCATTTTGTATGATTATTATTATTATTACAAACATATGGTTATTTTGTATGATTATTATTATTATTACAAACATATGGTTATTTTGTATGATT